AGGACTGAGTGCCTGTGAAAAGAATCCACGTTTGGGGGGGGGGGGCTTATTGTGATCCATAAGCTGCCTCTCCCAAATGGATTCCCTGGTACATCATGGTGTTGCTGTCCCCAAGCATCTTGGCCTGACCGACAACTCTTCTTTTCCGATCAAAGTGCCCCATTCTGACCATTAACAGGGCTTCTCCCTCCCTCTAAGAAACCTTCCTCCTGACAGAATAACTCAGTGTCAAAAGGAAGCCAGATTCGGATAATATATTAGGGCATTTACTATAGCTGGGGGACAAATGTTGGCATTAGAACAAAAGCAAGTGCGAAAGGTATCTATCACATGTGCACGCTCTCTCTCCCAGTAAAGGGGTAGTGATGAAAGTGAGGTAAATGTAGGCTGCAGTGTTCATTTTCTCCCTGTCTATTGACAAATAAGGGCTCTGGCTTCCGCTGACTTCAGGGAGCTTCCCCAGCTATCAGCTCAGCTGACAAAGCATCACGGAATCTTCAGGAACACTCCCAACTTCTCAGAAGTTGGAACAAGCAAAAAAAAAAAAAAAAAAAACCAACCCCAAACCCTGTCAGCACACAAGACTTAGGGACAGACGGGATAACGGGATTTTGGTAGAAGAGTTTACCAAAGAACAGAGCAGGGAACACTGTTGAAGTGCTGGTTAACCGTTAGAGGATGGGAAGGCCCACGTTAAGTTTGGGAAACTTCATGAGTTCAGAAGTGGGATGGGACACAGAGGCAGTTATTACAACACATGCAAACATCTTTATAAATCTACTCCGGCCTCTGCTCGCTCATATCACTTTTTTGCTCTGTGTTTTTGCTGGTGTCGAATCCAAATCTCTTTCTGGCCAAAACCCTGGCCGCACTCCTCGCACTCGTAAGGGTGCAGTCCCGCGTGGCTCCTCTGGTGCCTGAACAGCTGTTCCCTCCCGCTGACCCGCCTGCCACACTGCAAGCACTGATACGCACAGGAGGAGCCGTGAGATTTCAGGTGGACCATCAAGTTGTCTTTCCGATAGAAGGATCTGTCGCACTCCGGGCAATGATAGGATTTCTTTCCGGTGTGAATTTTCTTATGGCGGTACATCTTAGCCTTCCAAGCAAAGCGCCTCCCGCATTCGTCACATTCATACGGTTTGGCTCCTGTGTGGCTGTTTCCGTGATCGATGAGGTGACATTTTACCGAAAAAGATTTGTTGCACACTTTACACTGGTGCTTCTTTTTGGCGGGGGTCTTCTGAGCGGTCACGTGTCCGGAGGTGTAGCGATATGCCGCCCCGCTTTTTGAGTACAAGGATTTCCCCGCTTTTGTCGCTCCCTTCACCGCTAGGTTGCCTGCCGCCAGTTTCTTACCGGGCTGGTTCTTGGACTTCCAGCCTCCGTCGTTAATCACCACCGTCACGGAAGCGACCCCGGGGGTTATTTCCGCCGACGTACTTCCCATTCTCTTCAGAGCGGCTCTTGCCTGTGGAGAATTCTCTACCATCATCTTGCTCGGCTTACTGATGCCTGGGGGGGGGGGAGAAAGAGAAGTAATCCAGACATGAGATTCCTCTGCAGTGAAGGAACAATCAGAAACACAGAGAGAGGCAAGTCAGCTGGGCCTCTGAGTTGACACCCCTTCAGAAACGGTGGTTTTATCAGGCCATGCCCACGAGGGTCTTTTTTGAGGGGGGAGAGCAGGGGTCATTTCGTAGAAAAAGAGCTGCAGGAGCTCAATAGCATATCCAATAGGCTATTAGCATAATATATCATTAGAATATGCCACGCCCCCTGACATCATCGGAAGTGATGTCAGAAGGGGAAGCAAAAACACTTTTAAACCCCTTCGCGCCCACCCACCCCCAGCCCGCCTTAGCAGGCTGGCTGGGGAAGGGAGGGGGAGGCTTTTGAAGATGCCTCCCCCCTTTTTGCTTCCCCAGCCGGCCTACCAAGGGGGGGGGGAGCAAAGAGAGAAGAAGCGGCGTGACTCCAGAGAGAAGGGTTTAAACGTTAAACCCTTTTCTCTGGAGTCACACCGCTGCTTTCCATTATATTCTATGGGGCCATAGAATACAATGGAAAGATTGCAGCACTGCTGCTCTAGAAAGAAGGAGCTGGGGGCAGGGCTTGCCACCATTGCCATTTGTGCCCGGTCCTGGGCTGCTGGAGTGGTGCTCCGGGCAAGCTCCGGCCCCAAACAACCCCTGGGGGTGAGTATTGTGTGTGCTTGTGTGTGTGTGCATGCCCTTGTGTGCCTGGAAGTCATGGAACTTCTGGCAACCCCTTGTGGGGCAGCCATGAAATTAAAGACGCCTGGGAGGAAAGCTATGGAAACCTAGACAGCATAATAAAAAGTAGAGACATCTCCCTGCCAACAAAAGTCTGCATGGTCAAAGCAATGGTATTCCCAGTAGTCATGTATGGCTGCGAGAGTTGGACCTTAAGGAAGGCCGAGCGCCCAAGAATAGATGCTTTCGAATTATGGTGCTGGAGAAGACTCTTGAGAATCCCTTGGACTGCAAGGAGATCAAATCAGTCAATCCTAAAAGAAATCAACCCTGACTGTTCCCTGGAAAGCCAGATATTGAAGCTGAAGCTCAAATATTTTGGCCACCAAATGAGAAGGGAGCACTCACTGGAGAAGACCCTGATGCTGGGAAAGATTGAAGGTCAAAGAAGACGAGGACGGCAAAGGATGAGATGGTTAGACAGTGTTATCGAGGCAACGAACATGAAATTGAGCCAACTTCAGAGGACGGCGGAAGACAGGAGGGCCTGGTGTGATGTGGTCCATGGGGTCGCGAAGTGTCGGACTCGACTGTGCGACTGAACAACAACAACAAAGTGGGGCGAGGACATTTTTAGAGAGGTGGCTTGATATTTCCTGCCTCTGTGTCCTGGCCCTGGTCTTCCTTGGAGGTCTCCAAGTGCTTGCCAGGGTTGGCCCTGCATAGCTACCGATATCGGGCTTGCCTGGACTATCCTGCTCAGGGCTGCAATGCCTACATATTCAGGCACTCTCTCGTGCGACCGCAGGAACAACTGGGAAGAGGAAGGTCTACACTTTGTTTCATCTTGACCCCCATAATGTTTTATGCCCTGCCTTTCAACGTGTTTGCTAGATTCCTGGAAACAGGATAGGTTTCCAGTTATGGGCGCAGAAAGTTAAATAAGCTTATGTTATGATTAAACTAATGTTTTTTGCAAAAAAAGGGGGGGGGGAACCATATTGCAATAAATCAATGTGGAATTGCTTAACTGATCAAGCAGAACTGAATCCTAAGACATTAACGTCAGCAATTGTCTCAGAAAAGGATGCTGCGTCTCTCAGGAAGCCAAAGATGGTGAGACGCACTAACAGGCGACTGGGGTATGGCAAGCTGGGGTGGAAAGAACACAGACCCTCACGGGATCCCCCCGTCTGTTTCACACATGTAGCCACTGGAAGGAGAAAGGAATGGGATGAGTTTAAATCCCTTTCCCTTCTACTCTGGGGCTCCAAAGCCTCCCACGGAGTTGGAAAAAAACCTAGAGAACTGCTAGTAGTAGGCCAAAACCAGCTAACAAAAAAAAAAAAAGATAAGAAACCTCTGATAAACTGGCCAGGGGGCGGGGGAAGGGGGGGTACTAAGAACCAGAGATCTGACATTGTTTGTGTAGAAGGTATTAAAAGTATGTGTATAGTGACCACATCACGGCTATCAAATTGCAAAAATATGAAAACTGGTTGTAATTACAAAATTATGAAGAAGAGGAGATTGGATTTATACCCCGCCCTTCACTACCCAAAGGTGTCTCAGAGCAGCTTACAAACTCCTCTCCCTTCCCCTCCCCACCACAGACACCCTGTGGGGCTGAGAGAGCTCTGAGAGCAACTGCTCTTTTCCAAGGACAGCTGTGCCAGAACTACGGCTTGCCCAAGGTCACATCAGCAGGTGCAAGTGGAGGAGTGGGGAATCAAACCCGGTTCCCCCAGATTAGAGTCCGCGCACTTAACCACTACACCAAACTGGCTGTCTCTCGACGACATCATGTGTCACGATAGTAATGATTAGGATCACAGTGATAAATATCCTTTTACAACGTTGGCAATTATATACGTTAACAACTGCAGTAACGTGGCCCAAAAGCCTTGTTGTTGGAAAAAAAACCTGCCATGGAATTGTGCTGTTTATTTCTTACAAGCCGAAGGAAGAAGCACAAGAGAGACAGGATTGCTGGCTATACTCCTGTTTCAGTATAAATCTCCATCGGCTGTAGGAAACTGTTTACCATCAATTTGAAAGACAAGATTTTAAAAAATAAGCAGTGGTATACAGCGCAAACATCAAGGCTTCCACCTTCATTAGTCACACGACCTTGTGCTGGTAAACATGAAGGTCTGTAATAAACAATATTGAATGATGAATAATAAATACTAGCAAGCATTGAGGCAGGCTGAGATTTTCAAACATATGTAAATAAATATACCAGAGGCGTAAAAAACAACAACCCTGTAATGCCCTGACCCAGATAGCCCAGGCAAGCCCGATCTTGTCAGATCTTGGAAGCTAAGAAGGGTCGACTCTGGCAAGTACTTGGATGGGAGACCTCCTTGGAATACCAGAGGCGGGAGATGGGGGCAGGCTTTATTCAGCCACCTCTCTGAATATCCTCCAGGCCCCCAGTAGGAGTCAGCCACCAGAGGTCGCCCTGACTTCCAGGTGCACACACACTCCCATGTGCCTGCATGCACAGACACACAAAAAAACCAACAAATTTTTTTTAAAAAACCCTCTGCAATATGTGGCACTGTGCAGGTATCACAGACAAGCCCGTAAAAATGAATTCATTACACAACACAACATACATAACGTAACATAACAGAAAGATAGCAAAACTAACAACTATACACGTACCTTTAATACCTTCTACACAAACAATATCAGACCTTTGGTACTCAGTAAAACCCCCCCCCCCTATTTTGTAGGCCAAAACCAGCTGTCAAATTTTTGCAGAAAAGTAAAGTCAAGCGTGTCAGGGAGTCAAAGACCCATTTTCACCAACCAACAGCCCACCAACCAACCTGCATCCGACGTGTTACTCCTGGCCTGGTGGAGTTTCCGGTGCCTGCAGAGGTTCGAACTCCACGTGAAGCTTTGCCCGCACTCTTCGCATACGTAGAGCTTCTCCTTCTGTGGGCAGCCTCGCTTCCCTTTAACGAGGCCTGCTAATTTATGAGCTCTTTTCCTGCCTCTGGGATTCCCTTTGCGGGGGGCTGCAACACTCTTCACGAGGCCCTTCCTGCCGCTGGAATCACCGCCGCACGAGTCCCTTCTCTGGTGAAAGAGAAGGGCCGAATTCTGCGTGAAGGTTTTGCCGCACTCGAGACACTTGTAGGGCCTCTCCCTCGTGTGGACTCTCATGTGCCTGAGTAGATCGGACAAGTAATAGGCTCTGTGCCCACAGACGGTACACTTGTGTTTCTTTTCCTTTTGGCCGTATTTATTTTTCTTCACGACCGCGGCCGTTTTCAGACGCTGGGCGGACACGCCCGGGCGCCCCCTTGGACGCAGCTTTGGGGTGGCCCTGACTTTACGATCCTCCACGCCGTCAGAGGCAGCATCTTGGGACTCTTCTGGCAATGTCCCAACCAAGTCTCCCGATTCGATTGCCCCCTTCTGAAAATCCCTCTCCAGGATGTGGATCAACTCTTCTTCGTCTGTGAGGAGAGAGGAAAGAAAATTCAGGGGTGTGGCATCTCCTCACATACACATACATAGAATCAGAGGGAACCTTCAGGGTCATCTAGTCCTACCCCCCCCCCGCACAATGCAGGAAATTCACAAACACCTCCCCCACACGCCCACAGTGGCCACGCCCAGAAGATGACAAAAAACCTCCAGGGTCTCCAGCCAAACTGGCCCAGAGAAAAATGTTTCCTGACCCCAAAGTGGCAATCAGCATTTCCCTGGGCGTGAAAGAAAGGGCCACGAGAACTAAGCACTGAGGCAACCCTTCCCGCCCTCCCTCTCATGATCTGCCTAAGTTCACAGAATCCGCATTGCTGTCAGATGGCCATCTAAGCCTCTGTTTGAAAACCTCCACAGAAGGAGAGCCCACCACCTCCCGAGGGAGCCTGTTCCACTGAGGCACCGCTCCAACTGTCAGGAAGTGCGTCCTAATGTTTAGCCGAAAGCTCTTCTGATTTGATTTCAACCCATTGGTTCTGGTCCAAACTTCCGGGGCAACAGAAAACAACATGAAACTGCCTTATTCTGAATCAGACCATGAAGGTCTATTACGTATTCAGACTGGCAGTGGGTGGCTCTGCGGGGTCTCAGGCAGAGGTATTCCATGCTCCCTGCTCCCCAATCTTTTTACTGGGAGATGCTATGGATTGAACCTATGACCGTCGGCATCCCAAACAGAAGCTCTGCCACTGAGCCACAGACCCCTGCTCTCCACCTACTACCTAAACTGGAGATGCCAGGGATTGAACCTGGAACCTTCTGCATGCAAAGCAGAGGCCCTTCCACTGAGCCACAGCTCCTCCCCAAAGAGGCACACTAAACTGAAACCCAAGAGATGGTGTACAAATCAGCGTGCACTGAACTGTATGTAAGGAAAACAATTCTTTGGCCCCAAATGCTTAATTTCTACCTTCTGTGGCAGCAAAAATGATACACCAAATGCCCACCCCTCCCAAACTGGAGGGGAGGCAGGAAGGACAGGAAGCCCCCCCCAGTGGACTATCCTAGAGCATACCCACCTTCCAGTATTACGTCACATTCTGCCAGAACGGTGCTAGGAGCGGGTTCCTTTTGAAAACACTTGTGACTTTTCTTGTGCTCAGAAAGGTTTGACGCCCACCGGAATGTTTTCCCACAGTCGTAGCATTCGTAGGGTTTCTCCCCACTGTGGACCCGTGTGTGGAGAAGCATGTTGGATAACCTCAGGAACTTGCGTCCACATTCCAGGCATGGGTATCTCTTCTTTCTTGTATAGCCCGTCGGTTTCTTTACGGAAAAGCTGCCTCTGCTGGGTGGGACAGACTTCCCCTGTCCCCCGCCTTGATGCTCGCTGGGCTGCGCCATTAAGGCGGACCTGGCCTCGGGAGGAAGGGCGCCTGGGCTTTCTCCTGGCCACACACCATACTCATCTTCTGTTTTGATCTCTTCCTGCTTCACTTTACACAGTGGTTCGTCGCCTGCAGGGGATGGTAAATGAATAAATGACAACTTTGCAAGCCTATCATAGCAGGGGGCGGGGATGACACCGAAAGCTAGTGTCCCGTTCATTTACTTAAAACATTTATTAGCTGCCCTTTTACCTTTTGGGAACTCAAGGCAGCTTACAAAGTAAACAACAAAAATATAGCAAAATACATAAAAATCACCAGTTGAAATCAATAACTTAAGTTTAAAACTGCTGGTAGGCAGAACATAAGAATATAAGAAGAGCCCTGCCGGATCAAACAAGTGGTCCATCCAGTCCAGCATCCTGTCCCCACACAGTGGCCAACCAGCTCCTCTGAGGGGGCCAGCAGCAGGGCATGGAGGCAGAGGCCTTCCCCCAATGTTGCCTCCTGGCTCTGGGATTTGGAGACTTAGTGCCCCTGAATGCAGAAATTCTAATCAACTGATCAGCTTATCAGAACCAGAAATCCAATTCTTAAGGCCCACATACCTGTTTTTATCAAGATGCCGAACTCTATTAACATTAAAACCCATTTTTTAAAAACCACGGCCCGCTGGTATTTCACTCCTGCAAAACTGCACAGTTATCAACCTGGCCTACTCCCCGCTCTCCGCTGGAAACACTGGCTCTTTTTTTTTACAATGCAATTTTTTACAATGCAAATTTTACATGTATTTTAATGTATTTAATTGTGTGTTAAAATGTTTTTAATGTATTTTAACTTTTTAATGTGAGCCGCCTTGAGCCTGCCTCGGCAGGGAGGGCGGGATACAAATCGAATTAAATAAATAACATACATACATACATAAGTTGCAATTTCTACAATTTCCGGAATACCATTAGAGACCAAATCTACATCAGTACAGGATACTTTCTTCCTTTACATACAGAGTCAATGTTGTTAAATATGAGGGACTTTTCCCGTATTCCTCCAATACGGAAAGATTGGCGTTAGGTGCTGCTGCCTGTTCAGGAATTGCATCCCTATGGGGGGGACCCCCCTCCCCACCTGGTCCTGCCTACTTTCTAAAAACAATTTTGCAGGCAGAAGGGAAAGGCACCCACGTCATGGGCACCCACAGGCACACACACACACACACACACACACACACACACACTCCTGGGTCTAGAAAACTGGCATTCACTCTGTGGATCGTGGAGAGCCACATTCACAGTACCCGTCAACCATTAAGAGCCGTGTGACTCCTGCCCATCCCAGCACACCACCCCAGCAACCTTTTAATGACCACAGCACCCCTGAACATACAGAGCTGTCTCTTCCCACTACTGCTGAATCTTAGCTAGCCTTTGTGCATGTCGATTGAGGGAAGAAGAAGAGGAAGAGGAGGGGGAGGAAGAGGAGGAGGAGATTGAATTCATAATTTGCCCTTCACTCAGAGCGGCTTACAAACTCCTTTCCCTTCCCCTCCCCACAACAGACACCCTGTGAGGTGGGTGGGGCTGAGAGAGCTCTGACACAAACTGCTTTTTTTCAAGGACAGCTCTGACAGGACTATGGCCTGCCCAAGGTCATCCAGCAGCTGCATGCGGAGGGGTGGGGAATCAAATCAGGTTCTCCCAGATTAGAGTCCACGCACTCAAGCCGCCCTGAGCCTTCGGGGTAGGGCGGGATATAAATCCAAGGATAAATAAAAATAAATAAATAAACCATTACACCAATCTGGCAAGTCTGTTAAGTCAAACAATGTGCAAACTTCAAGGTTTTCCAGAACCCTCAAAATTACCCCCTAAGGGAAAACCCCCCCCCCCCCCCGGTGTGTTTTCACTCTAGTTCTGCAAGAAGAAGGGATGCCCGCTGAGTGTTAATCCATGAAACAAAACTCATCGCAAGTAGAAGATTTAGTACAGAAACCAGCTTCTAACCGCCCAGTTTTCACTTGAAGCAAAACCTCACATGTAGAACCCCCTATATTATTTATTATTTCATGCTCAGGGCGAGTCACAACACCAAATTCCAACACAACCTTAAAACAACTTGGTCAATAAATATCAAACATTAAATGAATACCATAAAACCAGTTAAGACAGTTCAAGTGGGCAAAGCAACAGATTTCAGTTTTCAGTTCCTACAGCCAAAGCCGAGCCATAAAGGTCTCATTTATAGCAGCACACTCTAACAGCGGCAGGGAGGCCCACTGGCAGATGCCCACTGCCTCAACCAAAGGCCTGGCGGAACAGCTCCGTTTTGCGGGCCCTGTGAAACTGGAACAGGCCCCCCGATCTCAGTCGGGAGCATGTCCCACCAGGCCGAGGCCAGGGCAGAAAAAGCCCTAGCCCTGGCTGAGGCTAGGCAAACGTCCTTCGGGCTGGGGACAACCAGCTGATGCTTGTCCGCAGAGCGCAAGGCTCGCCTGGGCACCTATGGGGAGAGGCGGTCCCTTAGATATGTCGGTCCCAGGCCGCATTAAGGCTTTAAAGGTTAGCACCAGCACCTCGAAGCAGCTCCGGTACTGAACTGGCAGCCAGTGCAGCTGGCGGAACACTGGCTGGATACGCACCCACACAGACATCGCAGCCAGCGGGCGCGCCATTGCATTTTGCATTTACATTACTCTGATATTTATTTATTTATTCCATTTGTATCCTGCCCTCCCCGCGCACAGGCTCAGGCCAGCTCACATTAGTCAGTACAAGGTACCATAAAATCCACATTAAACATTTAAAACGTTTTAGAACCGTCAGATAAACATAAAGTGCTAATAGTGATCATCATTACATCATTAACTGAGATGGCGTACTCTATGGTGTACCAAGCAGACAAATTCCGACTCAATGATCTTCTGGCGGCACACGATGGTATAGCTCTGTCTCAAAGCTGGGGCCGGCCCATAACCACAGATGTTGGTAGTGGTGGTGAGGGCGGCTCCTAATTGAAAGCCTGATGAAAGAGCTCTGTCTTGCAGGCCCTGCGGAGCTGTAGAAGGTCCCGCAGGGCCCTGATCTCTTCCGGGAGCTCATTCTACCAGCAAGGAGCCACCACTGAAAAGGCCCTGGCGGCAGCTAGCCTGGCATCCTTAGGGCCTGGGAGGGTCAAACGGTGTTGTGACCCCAACCATAGTGCTCTCTGGGGTATATATGGGGATTATCATGGATCATCATTACTTAATGTATACCCCAACTTTCTTCCCAACGGGGACCCAAAGTAGCTTATTTATTAAGTCTCCTCTCTTCCATTTTATCATCACAACAACCCTGTGAGGTTGAGAGTGTGAGAAGTCACCCACTGAGCTTCCATGGCAGAGTGGGGACTCGAACCTGGGTCTCCCAGACGCCTAGTCCAACATCCTAACCACTGTACTATGCTGCTTGTCTTTAAGGTGCTGCTGGACTCTGATTTTGTTCCACTACTACAGACCACCTGAAACAGACAAGTTTATTTTATTTATATGAAACATTTATTAGCCACCTCTCTATCTTGTGGGACTCAAGGGGAGCTTACAATGTAAATAAAGCAATTTTTAAAACCCTAAAAGGCCACAATTCAAAATCTCAATTAGGATTCCCAGTAAATAAAAACTACATTGGTCAAATGCAGTCCTAAATAAAGTTGTGTTTTTTAAAAAATAAAGCTGCTCAAAGTTTTTTTGGGGGGGCTCATAGAAACACAGGACGTCAACTGAATTTCTACAGATATTGGCCACTTCCCTGGAAGACTGGGGGCACGGTGCCACGGGGAACAGTGCTCAGAAGAGCCACCGAAGGCCACCGAACAAGCATCAGTTCTCTACAGGGGCCACACCAAGAAATCAAAGTCAAGCTAGGCAGGCCCGTAGCGACAGTGGGGCATTTCGGGGCCACGCCCCCCCCATCAACCAGTTATGCCCCACAAGGCACATTACCGGAAAACTCTTTTTAAAAAGTATTTATGTTGGTATTTTTTTAACCCCCGGAAAATCGCGTTGCGCTGCGCCCTGCCCGCAGCCGATGTTCTGCGCCTCAAGTTGAATAAAAGATTACCTAGCGACCAGAGCAGCTGCAAGGATATCTGAAGTGATTTGAGGGGTGTGCATGTTTCTTAGCAAAACTCTGCGTCATGGCAGGCAAAACGTTTTCGTGTCCCGGCCCAGAGAAACGCACGGAGCGTTCGTGGTAATTAAACATGCCCTCCTCAGAGGCGATCATTTCCCCTATCCCTGCTGCTTTCCCAGGGGAGGTCGGAAGGGGCTAAATGCACCAAGCTCTGTTTCTACAGAGGCTCCGAAATGGGAGCTTCCTTCCCAGCCCACTCCTTCTCCCCTTAGTTTTGCAACTAGCCTCTCCTGGCAGGGGGAATTGGACCCTTCACTCGGAGTCTCAGAGCAGCTTACAAACTCCTTTCCCTTCCCCCCTCCCCTCAACAGACACCCTGTGAGGTGGGTGGGGCTGAGAGAGCTCTGACAGAAACTGCTCTTTTTTCAAGAACAGCTCTGACAGAACATGTTGCAATGAAAAGACTAGTAGGAGAGGGCAGAGGTCATTTCGGGGGGGAACGCGGGGGATCGCAGTTCCCCCGGGTGAGGTACGGGGGGCGGGGCACATGACGAAGCCCCGCCCCCTGCTTCCGGCCGCCCCGCTTCCGGCCCTCATTCAGCCAGGAGGAGGCAGGAGAAGAAGGAGGGCAAGTTGCTTCCTCCCTGCCTCTCCCCACCCCTGCCTGCCAGGGGCCAGGGAGGGCCTTCGCGGGGCTTCCTCGCACTCCCGCCGGCCTTGCAGGTCCACCGCCGGCTTCCGGTGATGTCAGGGGGTGTGGAATATGCTAATGAGTTATGCTAATGAGTTCCCCTAGCTCTTTTTCTACGAAATGACCCCTGGGAGAGGGTAAGTGAAAACCGGGGTGTGTGTGTGTGTGTGTGTTACTGTATGCAAGGAAACGTTGTGGGGGTGGCAGGAGAAAATAAATATGGGGGCTAACGAAAGTAGCTATGAATTGGGCAGTGGGGGAGAGGGATCAGTAGAGAAGCTACAGCCGCGGTCATAAGGAGGGCCTGTGGGATTCGTTTCCCACTGGCGCCAGTCCAAGCAGATCAGGAACAGGGCAAAGGGATGCTGGAAGAAGCCTACATAAGAGGAGGCTTGCAGGATCAGACTCTCCGGCATTGCACCCAGTGAAGTCCCTCTTCTCCCCAGGCTCCATCCCCAAATCACCAGGAATTTTCCAAGCCTGAAGCTGGCAACCTTAAACTGGAGATTAAATCTGGGCCCCTGTTGCAAAGCAAAGGCTCTACCATGGAGCCACAGACTGTCGCCTATTGTTAAGCTTTCCCATATTTAAGGCAGACTCCCTCTGAACACGGAGGTTTTGCATAGCTTAGTGATATGGGCATTAATGTGAGGTGTTGCCGATATTGTGAACTTTTACGTGTGCTTATAATTCTGAACATGCTGCTTCCTGTATAGCCTTTGTAACTGGAATAAACTGAATTATTTTACATACATAATGGCTGCCCTACAAGAAAAAAAAATGCCCCACAAGCTATGGGCCTGAAGCAATGAAGGGGCGGAACTATGCAGACAGCAGCCAACTCTGTGCCTCCCATTTGAATGTCACAAGACAGAAGTACAAATGGACAAAATCCACCCATCCTCCCCTTTTAATTTTTATTGCTTTCCAATCTGCTGCCCTACAGGTTGGGAGGCACTTAGTTCATCTCTAACAGACTAAGATGTCTGCAGACCTAATGAGTTAGGTCAACTACCCGCGCCGGTCCATCTCACCCACCTATGTGTGTTCCCTGATGTTCCACAAGAGGGGTACTGGGAGCCGGTTTCTTCTTGTGACATTTTCGCTGGTGTGTTAAGAAGTTCGATGACCATCTGAAAGCCCTCTCGCAATTCTGGCATTGGTAGGGTTTTTCGCCCGTATGGATCCTCATGTGCCCAATGAGGTCTGATAACTTTGTACATCTCCGCCCGCATTCTGGGCAAACGTGCTTTCTCCTATCTTGACCTGCTGATGATTCCACCTCAGATGATACCGGGCCGTCCACTTGAGGCTTCCTCGGACGCAGCCTGGAGTAGGTGGGAGTTAGCTTGCAAGCCCTGGGAGCCCGCGAAAAGGCGCCTGGGGATTTTTCTAGCAACGTTGCGAGCCCGTCTTTTGATTCAGTCCTTCCCGGGTGACCACGGCGTCTGCTTTCTCCAATGGCTGCAGTGACAGATAATTGAGAGATATAAGGTGAATTCATGGGAGGTCGGGTCCATAAACAGCAATTAGGCACAATGATTATGCGGAACCTCAATATTCAAAGCAACTCTGAATACCAGTTCTGAGGAAAAACTACAGAGGAAGGTTTTTGGCCTCTGAGCTCTGCTTGTAGGCCTCTGGGGGTGGGAATCTGATTTGCCACTGAACTAGATCGGGTGATGGACTAGATCAGTGTCCCCAACCTTTTCTGAGCCCGCGGCTACCTTTAGAATTCTGACATGGGCGCAGCCACAAAATGGCTGCCTCAGGAGGCCGAGCCAGCCACAAAATGGCTGCTGCAACTTCTCTCAGTAAACAGTGAAGATCCTTATCCTGTGGTAACACCTGCTGCTGAAGCAACTTTTCTAAAAATCTGCACCGCCAGTCACCAACCTTGCCAGGCAAAAGCCTCCCGTGGCCCTGCCTCCTTTCTAAAAACAGTTGGTGGGTGCCAGGAAAGGCACTGGCAGATGCCATGGCGCCCACAAGGCTCTACAGTGGGGGCTCCTGAACTCAACAGATCATTGGACCGATCCAGTACAGCTGCTCTTATGAGTGACACCCCCACCTCTATTTTTTTCTCTGAAGTGGAGAAACAAGTCGGAAGAAGCAGACCTCCCGGCGACTGGAAGTTCACACCTCCCAGCTCCATCAGTCCTTCTCTCTACACTCGCTAGGCCGCACCTGAATGTGTGAATTAATCACACTGAGTGAATTAATCACACCTGCTGCCGAGTTGCCACAACGCAAAGATCTTTTTATCCCTTGCACTTTTTAAGGGGAAAAAAAGAGAGAGAAAATCCTGCCCTGACATAATTTTCTCGCTTCTCCATTTCATCCTCACAATAGCCCTGCGGGGCAGGTCAGGCCGATAGTGCGAGTAGCTCATTGTAGTGGCCCGTTCACATAAGCGGCAGCCATTTATTGATGACCGTGCTGGTGTGAGCCAGAGACCTGCTTGCCTCCCCCATTATTAGGTGACTGTCAATTGTTGTAATTGCATCTGACAACCAGAAGGGGGGGTTGTGGTTAAAGCGCTGGACTGGGATCTAGGAAACCACTTCAAATGCCTACTCTGCCATGGAAGCCCACTGGGTGACCTTCGGCAAGCTGCCTATTCTCAGATGAACCCACCTCTCGGGGTTCTTGTGAGGATAAAATGGAGGAGAGGGAAATGACCTGAGTCGCTTTGGGCCCCCCACTGGGAGGAAAGGTGGGACATAAACAAAGTCAATAAAATAAAATACAAAAGGAAGTTCAGGAGATAAGGTGTAAAGTGATGCCATTTGCTACAAAAACGCCCCCCTACACACTTCAAGGATAGGCTAATGGGGTCTGAACTTGTTGAGATTGAGAAGGGAAAAGATCTTGGGGTTGTAGGGGACAGCTCAATGAAAGGGTCCACCCCGTGTGCTGCAGTGGTGAAAAGGACAAACTTCTATGTCAGGATTAGGAAAGGGATTGAGAATAAAACTCCCGATAATGTAATGCCCCTGTGTAGCTCTTGCCAACCTAGCAGTTCAAAAGCAAGAAATTGCAAGTAGATAAATAGGTACCACTTCAGTGGGAAGGTAACAGCGTTCCGTGCGCCTTGGTGTTTAGTCATGCCGGCCACATGACCACGGAAACGTCTTCGGACAGCGCTGGCTCTTCGGCTTTGAAACGGAGATGAGCACCGCAACCCTAGAGTCGGACTCGACTGGCTTTCGAGCAAGGGAACCTTTACCTTTTTTAGATCTATGGTGCGGCCTCATTTGGAATACTGTGTCCAGTTCTGGTCACTGTACCTCCAAAAGGACACTGGAGAGCTGGGAAAAGTACAGAGGAGAGCAACCAAGATGACGAAGGGGTTTGTTGCACCTTCCCTATGAGGAAAGGCTAAAGAGTCTGGGACATTTCAGTTTAGAAAAGAGATGAATGGGGGGGGGCATGATAAAGGTTTATAAAACTATATGTGGGATGGAGAGAGTTGACAAAGAGAATCCCCCCCAAAAAAAAATACTGGAACTCAAGGGCATCCAATGAAGCTGATGGGCAGTAGGTTCAGGACGGAAAAAAGGAAATACTACTTTACACAGAGATTGATTATAATGCGGAATTTGCTGCCAAAGAATGTAGTGATGGCCTCAGGGATAAACAGCTTTAAAAGGGGATTAGGGAGATTCATGGAGGATAAGTCTATCAATGGCTACTGGCCATGATGACTGAGGGGAACCTCCACATTCAGAGGCACTAATCCTCTGACTCCCAGAGCCAGGAGGCAACCTCAGGGGAAGGCCTCTGTCTCTATGCCCTGTTGTTGGCCCTCCAGAGAACTGGTTGACCATTATGTGAGACAGGATGCTGGACCCGATGGAACTACTGGTCTGATCCAGCAGGGCTCCCCTTATGATCTCAAACTGGATTGAGTTTCTGCAAAACAAAACAAACATGTCTAGGCAGCTCCCAGGATACCAGCCACAACTTACCCCCACGCTTGAACCGACCTGTATGATTCCTGCGGCAGCCACGGATTCTCCAGTGCCTACACAGGCTCGACATCCACCGAAAGCTTAGGCCGCAGTCCTCGCATTGGTAAGATCTGTCTCCTGCATCAACTTCCGTAGGCTTGGCAAGGGGAAGGGGGGTGGCCGGTCTCCTCCCACGCTTGGAAACGACGTGGTTGCCCTCCCCTTGATGGCTTAAGGCTTTCCTCAGAGGTCTGAGCCTGCTGGCGGGTACGTGCATCTTCTGGTGAAGCTCGAAAGAGGACAGCTTTGAGAAAGTTCTCCCGCACTCAGAGCACCGGTGGGGCCTTTTCCCATTGTGGGAGTTCATGTGCCTCAGCAGGTCCGACAAGTAATAGGTGCGATGCCCGCACTCTGTACACTGGTGTTTCTTCTCCTTCTGCTTTTTGCTTGTTGCCGGAATGGGACTTTTCCCGCGGAGCTGCGCGGATCCATCCTGCTTCCCGCCTTGCGGTTCCCTCGGGCGCAGCTTCCTCCTGGGACTCTCTTCACACGCCTCAGGACTCGTTGGATCAGCCTCCGGGGAGTAGTCCGTCAAGGCCTCAAACGAGCCTCCTGCCTCTGAATCCGCGTCCTCGTAACTCTCGATTTTGATCTCGCTCAGAATTCTGCCCTCTCCTGGATGGGGCAAGAAAAGATAACAGGAGTCACTTCTCTGTCAAGTAAGAAAGTCTGGCTCAGAAGAGAGGGAGCTGGGCTGAGACCCGGGAGGCATCTAAAATGGACTCCAGATATGGCCTGAGGTCACCGTTCCTCCTCATTTACGGAGAGGGAGACATTGTGAATAAATATATTGAGTGGTGGGCTGCTCCAGTTTGGTGTAGTGGTTAAGTGTGCGGACTCTAATCTGGGAGAACCGGGTTTGATTCCCCACTCCTCCACGTGCACCTGGCTGGATGACCTCGGGCAAGCCGTAGTTCTGACAAGAGCTGTTCTTGAAAAAAGAGCAGTTGCTGTCAAGAGCTCTCTCAGCCCCTCCTACCTCACAGGGTGTCTGTTGTGGGGAGGGGGAAGGGAGAGGAGTTTGTAAGCCGCTCTGAGACACCTTTGGGTAGTGAAGGGCGGGGTATAAACCCAATCTCTTCTCTCTCTTCTTCTCTCCTATGCCAAAAGCCAGAAGGCTCCCTCCTCCCCACCATGTTATTATTATTATTCATTAATCGCCCCATCCCAGATTACACTGGGCTCCAGGTTGATGCACAAGTCATAATGCCATAAAATATACAAAAACATTAAATATATAATTAGTAAAAATTACAATACAGAATAAAATGATCCCGGACGGTGCTTTCCCCTGCAATATTATTTGTCCCAAAGCTCTACCGTGTCCCCTCTTAGTTGTCTCTTTTCTGAACTGAGAAGTCCCAACCTCTTCAGCCTTTCCTTACGGGGAAAGAGCGGTGGTCGCTTCTTCGCTCATCGAGTCATTGTGGAATTCACTGCCAGTGGAGGTAGTGGAGGTAGTGACGGCCACGAGCACAGAAGCCAGAAGTCTTCCAAAGGGGGTTCCCTTTGAACCGTGAAGGAGGGATCCACCATCAATGGCTACGAACCATGATGACTGAAGGGAGGCACCATATACAGGGACACTGCTCTCTGAAACCCGGGGCCAGGAGGTAGCGTTTGGGAGGGGTTGGCTTCTATGCCCTTCCAAGGCAACTGGTTGGCCACTACTTGAAAAGGGATTAGGGATGCCCAGCCCCTCATGGGGCGAGAAACCCCCCAGTCAGGTCCCGCTGCTTGCCAACAGCCCCCAGCCCTTTTGAACTTGCAGACACCTTCACAATTCTGATACAGTGCGGTGGGCGCAGCTACAAAATGGCTGCCACAGAAGGCACAGCCTGCCACAAAATGGCTGCCGACACTTCTCTTCAGCCACACACTGAAGATCAGAAGCCATGCTGGGCGAAAACCCCACCTGCCCCCATTTTTCTAAAAACACTTGGCAGGCACCATGTTGGGGACTCCTGATGTAGGAGGTATGAAAAACCCATGTGAATAACTGCTGACTGAGGATACAGTCGCAGCACCTGAAGTGGGCTCTAGTTGACAATCACCTATGATGGGATAGAAGTGTAAAAGACCTAAAGTTGCCACGAGGCTCCTGTTTGGTTTTTTGGTTGCCACACACTAACAGTGTTACCCCCCACGGCCTTCGTGGGCCTTTCTAATCCTTCCAGCTCAGGAGGGTGAAGTAATGTTTGGCTTGCCTGGGAAAGAGACACTGTAAGGTCTGGAGACTTCTTACTGCCCAACATTGCTGTGACCTGTAGCCTCGGGGGCTCACCACAGATGACAGCAGAAGCACAGAAACTGGGGTTTCCTGGTCCGGCCAGAGTGGCAAGAAAGAGCCCTTCTGACTTCTCCACACATCCGTTACACAAGTTCACTTTGCTTCTACCTGCCAAAGCGTACCCAGGCTGGGGGCACGAGGCACCTAGCCTGTGACAGACGGAATTCCTAATCACCTGATCAGGCAACTATTTGCGGTTAGTGGCACTTAGGAAATTGGGAAGGCGGCTGCTGAGCAAGACTGGGGCTTCTCACTCTCAATATCAAACGCTTACCTGGATGAATACCTGGAATAATACTTGAAATAGTTTCCCCTGTCTCAGTAATATGGGAGAAGACAAATCCTTCTTGGTCAGGCTGGGGGAGAATATCCGGTGTGGGAACCAAGAGTCCTTCTTGGGTATGGGAAAACAAAACAAAACAAAACACATCAGGAGACTGGTCCATTCTTGCCCTATCCTGGTGGAAAATATATTCATGGACTCCTGCCTGATAACTTTTGGTGTATATATATGATACATATATATACTTTTAAAAAGGGCTACTGAGAAAAATGCCCATCCCTTCACAAAACTGAATACTAGACTACTGCATGGCTTTGTACAGGGGGCCGTCCCTGAAGCATGTACAGAAGCAAGGAAAGGAAAATGGCAGACCTCCTGTCTATGAGGAGGGGCCTTCTGAAGCGTCTTAATTTTGTTAGTTAAACCTGAAGCAGGCAGGAGGGAAGATATATGTGTTGGGGATTCTTCACCGAAATCAACAGGCACTAAGAAAGAAAGAAAACCATTGGTACACAAGTGTGGTGACTTTCGGGTGGCTTTAAAAAAGGATTAAGCAATCCATGGAAATTAAGGTCTATTGGTGGCTGTCAGCCATGACAGCTATATGGGATTTCCATGTACAGAGGCAGTGTACCTCAGAAACTTTGGAACATATACATAATGGAAAAAACCTAAGACATTTCTGAAACAAAACAAATCTAAAGGTGAACACGATGATATTACAGGTTTATGGTCTCCCATATTAGCACATCTAACCACTAAAGGAACAACACCTGATGTAATAAATACTCTTCACCTCATTTAGCAATCTCAAAAGGTATTACAGACATACAAAAGCATGTAATGGAAAGTGTCACTCTTTAGACTTTTTAGATTAGACTCTAAGCTCTCAAGTCATAAGGTTTGACTTGTAAGACATTGGAAAACAGCATCCTTAGACTGGACTATATAGAGCTATATTTATTTGTATGTATAAAATAATATATGCAGGCTATATGTACACGCCTATCCTGTTGTTAATCTTGTTGTTAATGTAAAATGAATAAAACCATTTTGAAAAGAAAAAAAAGAAGAATGCACTGAGCAGGGGCGCTGGACTAGAAAGCCTCCAAGATCCACTCTATGCTCCCCCCCCCTTCCCGGTGGGGATACAAAGCTGGGAAAGGCCTTCATCTGACGGAAGAAAGAGAATGGCAGCTCAGCTCAGCGAGACCTCTGGGCCAGTCCAGCAAGGGAGCTCTCACCTGACCGTTCCACCACTCCACAGACACCCCCCCCCCAACATGACCCCTTTTCCCAAAGGACAAAAGGCTTACCGGAACTGCTGACATTCCCATAGGTCCCTTGTGCGACTTCCCAGTGCAAGGGCTTTTGATCAGGATTTACTGCAGTCCAGCCACCCCTCGCCAAAGCCTCACTCCTATCCTTCAAATTCGCAAGCCCCTGGGGAAAAAAATGAGAAAACGTGCCCTGCTTAGAACTCAACAGGCCTCAGAAACAAGCCCCGACTTCCCTACAACTTCTCTTCCAACTGATCCCTAAAGCACTATACGGCTTGAGACCAGGGTACCTGAAGGACTGTCGGCCTATTCCCACATGAACCTAACCGACCGCTGAAGTCATCTTCGGAGGCCCTGCTTTGGTAGCCATCATCAGAAGCCAGAAGGGCGGCAACTCGGGAATGGAAGTAAAAATGACAAACCCAACTGGGGCTGCAGCAGTGAAAAGGGCAAATTCTGTGATGGGGATTAATAGGAAAAGAACTGAAAATAAAATTGCCAATATTATAATGCTCCCATATAGATCGACCGTGTGGCCTCATTTACATCCGCAGAAGTGGGCGCAGCAGACGGTGAAGGCTTTTGAGGTGCAGGGACCAGAACTGTATACAATATTCCAAATGAGACCACACCATCAATTCATACTGGCTGATTTGTTCTCAGTCCCCTTCCTAATAATCCCCAGCACAGCATTTGCCTTTTTTACTGCAGTCAGGAAGGGCTGAATACATTTATTAACTTATTAAAACATTTATACCCCACCGTTCCTCTTTTGATTCAAGGCAGCTTATGACAATAGTAAAAACATCCCTAGCTAAGAGACAAAGACAAAACAGCTAGCCCCAAATCCCTCCCCACCCTCAAACGGGCAGGCCTTGCAGGGCCTCCTGAAGATCTACAATGAGGGGCACACCTCATCTCTTCAGGGAACCCCTTCCACAGAGCTGGAGCCACGACGGAAAGGCCCGGGGCTCTGGGCGATGCCAGACAGGCCACCCTAACTGGTGGGACAGCCTGACGACAGTGGTTGGCGCACAGGGACACGTGGAAGGAGACAGTCCGTCAAATAAAACCCTACATCTTCAAACATGGATCAGCCCCAACCTTGTAATCCTAAGTATACAACTGCTAAACAAATAAGAAGGGGGAAATTCCTTCCTCCTGTCCTTTACCTTTGACAGAAAGGAGGGAGAGAAAGCTACCATTACTTGTTTTGACAGCTGGAAGTGCTGAGGGCCCCAACCCCCCAAATACGAAGTTTCCACATTAAATACCAAACTCTCACCGGCCATTCCCACATCTTGGATGACTGACGGCCCATCAGGAAGTCCTCCGCCAGCGCCACCACCTCAACGCAGTCTTCTGGGGCGCACTCCCGCACCCAGTTCTGGACTTCTGGAGGCAGCATGGCCAAAAGCTGCTCCTGGATTATGAGCTCCAGGATCTGCTCCTTGGTGCGGTGCTCCGGCTTCAGCCACTGACGACACAGGTCCTGCAGGTGGCCGTAAATCCGACGCGGCCCTTCGAACTCCTGGTAACAGCACTGCCGGAAGTGCAGCCGCTTGGACTCCGTCCGCATGGCGTCCCCTCGCAAGAGGGCTGCTTTAACCTTCACGTAGTCCCCCCTCTCGCGGGCATCCAGCCGGCAATAGATTTGCTCCATGCCTCCCCTGAGGGCTGGCAGCAGCCGGCCCACCCACTCCTCTCTAGGCCACCGGCAAGCATCGGCCACTTGCTCAAAGGCGGCCAGGAAAGCTCTGGTGTTGTCCCAGGGCGCTGCATCCGTCAGCTGTGTGTTGCCCCATCCGGCGTGAGAGTGCTGCACCGTCCGGAGAAACTGCTGCCACTGGGCCTCCCACACCTGGTTCAAACTCTGCTCCGGCTGCTGGTTCGCAGATGGTCTTGGGGGTTCTTTGAAATACATCACCTGGACGATGCGCGGAACCTTCCCGGAGGCTTCCGAACTCTTTTCCATGTCCGTCTTCATCTCAGGGCCACCTGAACCAGAAGCCCCGGCTAAGTGCCGGCTGGTACTCTGAAGTCCAGGTGCTGGCCCTCGATGCTCAGAAGTTTATTTTGACTGGCTAATCCTACAAGTTATGTTTCATGGGATGCTGGAAACCTAAAACCTGTCCTTTTTGAAAAAGCATCCCCGCCAAGGGGATGGCTGTCCTAAAAAGGTATGATGTTCCCTGCATGAAACAAAAACGTGTATTAGAACAGAAATAGACACAGGCACGAATTTTTTAAAAATAGCCTCCATCTATGTGTAGATATGGTTCAAACTGCCTCACCTCAAGCGACAGTTTTCTTTACTTCTATTTGTATTCTGCCTTTCTTGCAGACACATCAATACCTTTAGAAACAGTCCAATGTGCAAGATTTTAGCACGTTTAATTAAACCCCCACTTCTCTCTATATGCCAGAAAGGTTTCACTTTTCACATTCATGCATCTTTACTGTCTTCCCTCAGTTCTGCCAACCCTGGTGCCTGTGAAAAGGGGCAGCACTTGCCATTTTGCTAAATATAAAAAAGAACAACAGCCCTGTTCCTACGCTTTCCCTGTAATTTATTTATTTGCTAGGTGAAAATTGCTTCATTTCTACACATCCCGCCTTTAAAACACAAGAGAGAGCTTGGCCTGTTTGAAAAGGTGACAACCAATCTCAGTGATATGAGCCGGGAAATTTTCTGATGCTCTATTTCTCCGTGGAAAATTTTCTGCCCCGCATATTAATAGTCTATGGACAGCTGTTAGAGAGCTGTTGTGCTGCAGATCAATCACATTAGATGGGCTAAATATGGGAAATGTAATATGGACAGCCTTCCCGATGCTTGTGCATGGACCAGGCTGGCTAAAATTATTTAAATTGTTTATTGAAGTTTAAATAGGAAAATTCTGAGGGGAGATACTGAGTGAGGCTAATTGCTGATACTTCAGGACTTTCACCTTCTGCTGCATTATATGAGGGTTAGCCTTCCTAAGTCTGTCATTCTTCCACATAATTAAGGCAGGTTACAAGTTAAAGTTGCAAGCAAGACATTAGCGTGACGGAAGCCATTTTGAATCCATTTTCTTTTTGCTGGCCCTGGCTCCTGGGCTTTTGAAAAGCAGCCTGAGTCACAGAAATACAACAGGCAAAGCCTCTCCTGCCATAAAGACATGCTGAGAAAAACCACTGGCTGTATTTCTCCAAGTTCAGCTGCTTTCAAAAGACTAAGGAGAGGGCCAGTTTAAAAGAAAAAGGGCAATCTGTAATTCCTCATACAGGCAAGAAGGAGAGCCAATGAGAGAGGGAGCTAAGGGAAGACAGCCAATCAAGGAGGCTTCCCCTCTAAGGCCCCGCCACTGTGCTCTGAGGGGAGATTGTGAGGGAAGCCATTTGATGCTACTTCAGCTTTCCCAAGGCTACTTGTCTACTTACTCTGCATTCATATTCAGCCCTTCTACCCAAAGTACTCATACGTTTTAATATCAGAGGGTTTCTGAAGTGTACTTAAAACGCGCTACATATTTATTTACTTCACTCATACCCCACTTTTCTCCCAAATGGGGACCCAAACCGACTTACAACATTTCCCCCCTTCTCCATTTTATCCTCACAACAACCTTGTGAGGTGGGTTCGGCCGAGCATACGTGGCTGGCAGCCTAAGCAGACTCCTGATAATCCTTCTGTGAGGCCTTCCAGCTGTGTGGCTTGTCTAGCTATGTCTGCAGTAGCATTCGCACCCTCTCCCTCCAATCCGTTTTCAAACCCATTTCTTAAAAAGGCACCCGTCTCCAAAAGGGGCCCAGTGCTGTTTATATGTACATCCATTTTCAAACAGAGTGACATGTTTAAGACTGTCCTTCTAAGATCGGTAGCAACAATAAAAATCAGCCCAGCGCTGCGCTTCAATCCTAAAAAGGAGATTAAAGCGACCAGCAGACAAACAGAAAAAGCCCAAAGATCACTGTCTTCGAAGTCAACCGTAAAGCCTGAAGCGCCAAAAAAAACCGGCTCTGTTTCGCTCTTCCTCTGAAACTATGAAGGACATGAAGATTTCCTAATTTCCTCCTATTACACAACGTCGGAGCACCGCCCCCAGGGGGGGGGGGGGAAAGTCCTGCAAGATGGCCACAGAAGAACATAATCCTGCAGTGGGCAGAAAGATCCCAAGGCCTAGCAGCCCTGACCAAAGCCAGCACATGGGCCCACCCCTGCAATAAATCAGGCATGACAACCACTCACCAAGAGCCAGTTATCACAAAAAACAAGTGTAGCTCACCATCCAACTTAATGAAAAGCCCCCTAGAACAAAGCCATTTTACTGCTGCTTCTGAAAAATCAATAGAGAAAGTGCCTTCACCTCCCTCTGGAAGACTGCTCAGAGATAAGAGCCATAACTGGGTAAAAACCTATGCCAGTACTGAAGGCGTGCGTACAGTCCTGTACGAGGGTGTGATAAGTAAGAGCCACTGACAGTGCTTCTTATCCCTAAAGCTAAACACTCTCTAGCAGGTCACAAATTAAGCACCAAATGAGACATTAGTGTATCAGGAACCATTTTGAATCCCTTCATTCTGTGTCCGGATGCCTGGACAGCCATTAGCTGAAGCTTAATATGGAGGAGGGGATTCCAGTGTGGAAAGACGGATCCCCCCCCCTTATTTCTTGTCTGAAAACAAAAGGGAATTCACAGCACTTCCTTATCAAGCAAGCGGCCTTCACGCATTCTTGCAGTCTTATCTGCGTCTCAGCAGAAGCCTGAGCAAGAGGAGATTATTGTGCAAACACTCTGGAACTCGTTCATGGAAGTCAGCAGTTTCCGGGTGAATCTCTCTTCCCCTCTCACCCGAAAAGCCCTCAGATGGACCCGAGCACTGAAGCAGAGTTTAGCTACCACCACTACATAGCCCAGAGCGCCAGGAATTCTGGATCACGTCAAAACTGATAACAAAATATCTGCATTTCCAGAACACAGTGGGGCAAGGCAACAAATAATTCAGATTTTTTAAAACACACACACACAGATAACAAACCCACATGGACTACGGCCCACCTTTCTACAGAAAACGGGTTTGAGACGCACAAGAGAGAAATGTGCATGACAGAACAAAAAAAAGCAACACATGAGGCTCAGTGAGATAAGGGCACACATATTCTCTCTCTCTCTCACACACACACACCCCAGAGAAATAAATAAACTGCTGCTTGATTGCCACAATTTTGGCTTAGCAGGAAAGTCAAACAAACAAACAAATACCTTTTATTGGCATAAAATATTAAACAGTTGCCATTAGGGTAAAACAATCCTATAAAATTTGTGGAAAATAAGTAACTTCTAAAAGCATTACAAAGGTATGTCTATTTATATAAGCTTAGGTTATAGCAAGATAAAATGTTGCCCAACTGCAAAACCTTGAATTAAATTATACAAACTCATTGAACTCAATTAGAACGATCAGGGACATTTTTCCGTTTTATAAGACCATAAAAGAACTTGGCAGTCAATTCAATAATCTCTGAATCTCGAGAAGTAAGGAGGTAGTTTAGCTGGCTTCCGTCCTAGCAGGAAAGTCAGATGAATATACAGGAGAGTGCCCTCGGGGGTTTGTTCTAGTTAGAAGGCCAAGGGGGCCCTGACAACCTGGTGCAAGACATGTGAGCGACTCATGTGACAGAGAAGAGCAGACTCCTCTCCAGACTTTTGCCTGAGACTCCTCCCTCCCCTGCCAAGGTGAGCGCAGAGCTCTCCACCAGGTCCACCAGGTCCAGGTGCACAATCCCTCCCCCACAGCCAGCTGGTCTCTACTAGCGGAGCCAGAAACAAAAGGGGACGATCTGGCAACCTGATAAATTTGAAACATGGGTGGGGGGGGCACAGGTCGGGGCCTGACCGGAGAACAGAGCTGGTACGGACAGGAGTGGGCAGGAAAGAATACCAGAGGGATTCTTTCGATGGAGGAAGTCTTACGCAGGAGAAGGGATGATGCTTCCGTGCCACTGGAAGTTTTAAAAAAGCAGCACCTAGCATTTGCATCCAGAAACAATCATCAGCCAAACACAACCTTTCCATTGATCTACTGGTTGCGTATGAAGTGGCCTTATGCTGAATCAGAGTAGGGGGGTCCATCCAGGTCAGTGCTGTCTACTCAGACTGACGCTGGCTCTCCAGGATGTCAGGCAGAGGTCTTTCTGCACGGCCTGGTCCTTTAACTGAAGGTGCCTACCTTTTGCAATGCAAAGCAGAGGCTCTTCCACTGGGCCACAGCCTCCTCCCCCACAGCTGCTACCGACTTTGCGCCTGGACTACGAAACTCCATTTAAACATAACGCGTCTTTACACCCGTTATCTTTTACTCAGTTTTACCACTCATCTATCCCCCCCATGCCCCACTCATCCAGGAAAGTCTCTTAGTCCTGAACATGGGCAGCAGAAAGTCCCCAAGAAAACATTTAATGAGTATTATAAATTTATTTAAAATATCTTAAAGGTGCCGTTCTACCTAAATTAGGACACTCAAGGCAGTAAATAATAAAAACACTAAAACAAGCTTTAAAATGCATATAAAAACCAGTAAAATGAAACATAAACACATGAATGGAAGGACAATTAAATAAGAATTGTCCAAAAATTCCAGGTCAGCCCCCCAAACTGAAAAATCTGAAAGGGGTGGGGCTGCATTTATCACAAGAAGTGGTGTTATCTGCATTTTTACAGGTATTACATTCTTCAAGTTGCATCTCTAGAAAGACAAGATTTTTTTGCTTCTGCATAACAACATTGAGGCCAACTGCTATTTCGAAAGCCAAAAAAGCTTTTGGCCCAGTGGACAAAAAAAACTAGGGTGGAGCAGCTTACAGCGACTCTGCAGCTATCATTTTAATGAAAATACAAAAAGATGTACTTTTGTCCTTCTTAAGAATATATGTCTAAGGAACAGCTAACAGTCCAAACTACAGGAAGTGCCTCCAATGTCACAACAGTTCTGTTGTGTATCAAGGCTTTGTAGTTTCCCTAACAGATTTAACATCACTACCCACGAGAACAGGGTTAAATGACAGCAAGCCATTAAGAAAATCTGGCACAATGGGGCCAATCCAGAGCTGGTGATCTATCCGAATTCCTGAGACAATAGTTTTCTCTTTAGAACTAAACAATTCTGCATCAGCCAAACTGAAACGCAGCTCAGAGAGGACTGTCTGTTAACCAACATAAGGAGCAATAAAGAGACCCAGCCAACAACCAGATTATGCAAACAGATCAAGACGGGTAGACATGTTAGTCCGTCTGCAGCAGCAGAAAACAGCAAGAGTCCACTAGCACCTTAAATTCTAACAAAAATTGTGGCAGGGGAGGAGCTCTCGTGAGTCACTGCTTGCTTCTTCAGATCTGGAGAAATGAGCAGCGAGTGAAAGCTCCTCCCCTGCAACAGATTTTGTTAGCCTTTAAGGTACAACCAGATTATGGGACTTGATCACTGGCATGCCTGCTGGCCACAGCCTGAAGAAAATTAGACAAGGATAGTACCCTGTTTCCCCGAAAATAAGACCTACCCCAAAAATAAGCCCTAGCAGGATGGCCCAGGCTAGCCCGATCTCAGAAGCTAAGCAGGGTCGGCCCTGGTTAGTACTTGGATGGGAGACCAGCAAGGAAGTCCAGGGTTGCTATGCAGAGGCAGGCAACGGCAAACCACCTGCGAATGTCCCTTGCCTTGAAAACCCTTTGGGGTCACCCTGACGCTGCTGCAACTTGAGGGCACTTTGCACCACACCACAACTACAGTTCCTGTTTAGCAAACAATAGGATCTCTCATGTATCTAGGCCGTGTGTTTTCCCAATAATATGTGCAGCATTACCCCAGTTTTAGCAGAGGGCAAAAAACTATGAATGGCAGTCACTGTTTTTGGGACAGCTGAGGTCCGTTTGCTAAATTCTTCCCACTTGAGTAAGGCAGTGAATGATAGGACATTTGGGGCATCATTAGTGTATGGGGTCTCCTTAAACTGGAAGAAACTTGACGGTACGTACCGCACAGTCCAAAAGGCATTCCAGCAATGTTCTTAGAACTGAAGCATGAGGTTAACCTGAAATTTCTAAAACCGCCAAACACTTCTAGATTTACATCCAAATGCATCCAACATATTTTTGTTGCTTATTCTAATTTTTAACTTTTTGATAACGTCGTTTTGTAAGGATCTTTTCCAAAGGTTTTTTTTTAAGTATCTATTTTGGACGGAGCCTCATTTTTTACTTTACCACACAGCTGGCAACAGCAAACCAGGGGCACATGCCATGAACAGCCAAACTAAACTGGGGGATGGAGTTTGAGCCCAGGGGGACTTCTTTAAGACCAAGTTTTATTCAGGGTAGAAGCTTTACTGTGCACCCAGTCTATTCAGATACACTGAAAACAGAAGTCACCAACCATCAAATCGAGGTAGAGGGTGGTGCCAGGATGGGCTAATTAAAGTAAAGACCCATAGGTAACTCAACAATGGATATAGCTAAAACAGGATTAATTGGATTAAGGCAGTTTGTAAGACCTGTGAATAGCAGCAAATTAGCATATGGCATAATAAAAGAGTTTACAAACAGAGAGAGAACTGAATGTGGGATTACCATCCGTAGTGGGGAGTTATCATTCTTACAATGGGTCTAATCACCCAGTAGCCCGTTTCTGCAGACAGAAATCCCATGCTGTTCAGTGGGGTTTACCACCAGGTAAGTATGCAGATGATTGAAACCATAGTTTTAATTTATATAAGAGTAACCTAGCCCCCCCCCCCACATGTCTAACGCTGAAAGAAATCCCACTAAATTCAGTGGGGCTGGCTTCTACATAAAGTATGCTGAATGACCAGAGTTGTCTAGTTCTTAAAGTACACCACATATATTAAGACAATAGTGTATAGATATCTTTTTTTTTTCAACCACAAAGCTAAAGCTATGGAAGACAGGATGTGAAAAGTCACCACCACCACCACCACCAGTCCAGGTCATACCAGCATTATTGCCTGTCCTGAAAACGGCAAATCAAATTAGCAGATCGGAGCAGCAACTGCAGGACTGCATATCACCTTTCCAAAAATGTCAGAACTTCACGCCCTCCAGAGCAAAGCGACCTAGCCAAGCGGGCGCAATCCAGTTCCAAGAAATCCCATTCTTAAGAGAAAGGCATGAAGCAAGAACCAGAAAGGGGGGGGGGTCATTTTGGGCGGGCTGGGTGCAAACTTTCTCCCCCCCACCGCACACACACCCCGCCTTCAAAATGGCTGCAAGTCCCCCCCTTCCCTTTGCTCTCAGGATCGGCTGCTGCGAAGGGTCTTTCAAAGCAGGAATCAAAGATCGACCCCTTTGCTGCGACGGAAAAGCCGATTAAAAGGACCGACCCCCCGGATCAGCCCGAGCCGTTAACCCGCCAGCCCGCCCAAAGGATTAAAAAAAATAATGTGCCTTACAATGGCTTCCGGAAGACGTTTCTAGGCCGGACAGTTTGCGATATAAAGAACTTCCCGGAGCCGCTTGCCTTCCCAAAGGAGGACCCCCCCTCGGGGGAAGCGCTCTCGCCGCCGCCTGGGAAGGATCAAGACCGCGACGCCTGCATTTCGCAATGCTCAGAATGATTTCTCCTTGTTGGAAGAGAGACAGCCGCGCTTCCCCTGTGCACCGCCCGCCTTTTTCTTTCTCCTCGGCTCTTTCCGTCTCTAATCGCCTCGGCATGCTGGGAACGGTAGTTCGGCCGAGTTCACCTACAGGCGCTCTGATAGACCAAACCGGGAAGAACAGGCTCCGTTTCTAGGATCATCCCCATTTGTCTGGGATTAATTCCGGGGGGGAAACAGAGTGACGGAAATAAATATATATCAGAATTGGAGATAGATGGGCAGGTACAGCCTTCTTAATAGTGGGATGTCGGTCAGGCTGAGATAACTGGCTCGAGGGCCCCCCGCAAGCTTCCAGGGCAGGTGTGGGATTCGAATCCACATCTCCTAGATCAGAGTCGGGACACTCTTAACCACTGCACCCAGCTTTGCACTATCCACTCCGGTGGGTCAACTAAAGTTCGTTTCCCACCTCTTCTGAACCACGGAAGCACGGCTGGGAACTATCAAGCCTGCTGTTCCTGCCTCCCCACCGGGGGACATTCGAACTCAGAACCACTCTCATTCTCACACACGGAAAAGCAGCAAAAATCGCCTCTGTACCCTATTAAAGACACGCGGGTTTATACTGGGGGGGGGGGGACACTCGACAGCTCAATTTATTTTTTATTTTATTTAAAACACGTGTTAGTTCGTTGCCTTTCTACCTTTCGGAACTCGAGGCGACTTACCATGCAGAACAAAACAATTCTATAAAAGTACACAAAAGATCACAATATATATTTTTTTAATCCAATGAGGTTACTATTCCACTCAGATTCAGGTGGGCAGCCGTGTTGGTCTGAAGCAACAAAACAAAGTTTGACTCAAGCGGGGCACCTTTAAGACCAACAAAGTTTAATTCTGGGTAGAAGCTTTCCTGTACTTGGCACTAGTTCAGATACATCGTACCTGAAGAAGTGTGTATACACACAAAAACTTATTTTGTTGTTCAGTCGCACAGTCGAGTCCGACTCTTCGCGACCCCATGGACCAGATCCCGCCAGGTTTATACTTATACCCAGAATTAAATGCATACATTGTACCTGAAAAGTGGATGCACACGAAAGCGTATACCCATAATTAAATGCATACACTGTACCTGGGAAAGTGTGCATGCACACCGAAGCTGACACCCAGAAGAATTAAATGCATACTGTACCTGAAGAAATGTGCATGGACACGAAAGCTTACCCCCAGAACTAAACGCGTATATTGTACCTGAAGAAGTGTCCATACACGCGACAGCTTAAACCCCAAATTATACTTTGTTGTTGGTCTTAAAAGTCCCACTGAGCTCAAACTTCGTTCGATTATTCTAGTCAGTGTATTATTCCGGTAACCTGTCCCTATTAAGATGCCATCTGCAAATTCGAAGTCTCTGCCTCCTTCCCACGCGGGAGGCCATGATAGCAAGCAACCCATGCCTTGCCGCCTGCCTTCCCCCCAAACAGTAACCCACCCAGGAGTTGCCGACGGCCCCCCATCCCCCCCGCCATGACCAAGGTCATTACCGCACCGATGCCGCTCGCCAGTCAGTCCCTCAGACAACACGCCCCCTTCTCTTCCCACGTGCTCTTCGCTCGCCCCAGCTCTTCCGCCACCAGGGCCCGCAGAAAGCAAAGCCCTTCGCCGCCCTCCTTTAAAATCTTCGCTCGTTCCACCCCCACCCCGAGCCAATTCCTTCTCCTCCTCAATGCGACAGCAAATGGCCACTTTTTGGGCGAGGCCCACCCACCTCCTGCCTCAAGCGTCTCAGTTCCCTTCGGGGAGCAGAGTTTAACCCCCGAGGCGCCGCCTTCTGCGGCTTGTCTTGTAGGCTCCACTCTGGAACATGGAAAAGCAAAACATGTACAGGAAGGATGGATTCAGGTGGGGACTCAATGCTCCCTCTAAGCTATGGGGTCTCGTGAGCACAAACTCTACGTTTTGAGCTACTGGCATTAAAGTTGTGAGCGAGCGATTTGGCTGCTGCATAATTTAGTTTGCGCGGGAGCCCTCCTTCCTGAGCTAAGACAAAAATGTGTGAGCCGGAGGCTAAAAAACGGTGAGCTAGCTCACACTAACTCAGCTTAGAGGGAACACTGGCCACTGGGAAGCCCTGTGTCTGAAGCAACAGAACAAAGTTTGAGGCTAGTGGCACCTTGAGACCAACAAAGTTTAATTCTGGGTAGAAGTGTTCCTGTGTAGGCACACTTCCTTCATATATCTTGGATGTGGGTATAAGTTTTTGTGTGCATGCACTCTTTTTCAGATATATGGGTATAAGTTTTTGTGTGCATGCACTCTTCAGATATCTGGGTATAAACTGTCATGTGCATGCACACTTCTTTAGATATCTGAGCATAAGTTTTTGTGTGCATGCACTCTTCTTCAGATATCCAAAGTGTGCCTGCACACGAAAGCTTATACCCGGCACTAAACATGTGGGTCTTAAAGGTGACACTGAACTCAAACTTTGTTCCATAGTAGTAAGGGTAATCACTCAATGATGGCCAAGATCCACTGAGCCCAGCATACGGCGCTCGTACACAGAGCGTAAAAACAGCTGCTTCCCCCTAGGGTTGCCAGCCTCCAGGCGGGACCTGGAGACCTCCAGGAATCCCTTCTGCTCCCCAAACTACACAGATCGGCTCCCTGGAAGAACACGGCAGCGTTGGAGGGCAGACTGTATATGGCATCAACTCATTGATGAGCTCAGTCCCCTCATCGAATCCCGTCCTCACCAGATTCTACGACCGAATCTCCAGGAATGTCTTGTCCTGGAGGTGGCAGCCTTACTGCGGCTTGTCCCCCGAGAAACTGGTATTCAGAGATATACTGTGCGGTTTGGGGGGGGGGGTTCCATTCCATCATAAGTTTTCAGATACATCTAAGGACAAGCCCTGGCTGTAGCCTTGCCATCCTCCAGACGGGATCTGGAGATCTCCAGATGACAAAAATATTAGTTCCTTTGGAGAAAATGGCTGCTTCATAGGGTGGACTGTGTGGCATTATACACTACTGAGGAGCCTCCCGCTACTCTCCTCTGGCTCCCCCCACAAATCTCCAGGGCTGTGTCAACCAGGAGCTTGCAACCCTAACTTTCGAGCATTATATCCTGTGGAGGGCCCTCCTCTACTTCAAACCCCACCCTTCCCAGGCTCTACACCCACCCCCCCTTCCAGTAATTTCCCATAGTGTTGCCAACATCCAGGTGATGGCTGGCTTTTTTTGTAGCAGGAACTCCTTTGCATATTAGGCCACACACCCCTAATGTAGCCAATCCTCCAAGAGCTTACAGAGCTCTTCTTACAGGGGCTACTGTAAACTCTTGGAGGATTGGCTACATTAGGGGTGTGTCGCTTAATATGCAAATGAGTACCTGCTACAAAAAGAGCCCATCTCAGATATCCTGGGATTACAACTGATCTCCAGGCGATAGAGATAATTTACCTGGAGAAAAAGACCTCTTCGGAAGGTGGGCTCTGTGGCATTGTACCTTGCTGAGGTCCCTCCCCTGCCCAAGCCCCTCCCTCCTCAGGCTCCACCCCGAAATCTCCAGGTATTTCCCAGCCTGGAGCTGGCAACCGTAATTTCCCAACCAAAAGAGTTGCCAACCTTAACTCGTCAGTGAAGAAGAAGAGCTTGGATTTATACCCCACCCTTCACGCAGAGTGGCTTACAATCTCCTTCCCTTCATCTCCCCACAACAGATGCCCTGTGAGCTGGGTGGGTCTGAGAGAGCTCTTTCGAGGACTACTCTTGATAGAACAGCTCTGAAGCAACTTGTGACTGACCCAAAGTCACACCAGCAGCTGCATGTGGAGGAGTGGGGAATCAAACCCGGTTCTCCCAGATTAGAGTCCGCGCTCCTAACCACTACACCAAACTGGCTCTCTTGGACTGAAGGTAAAACGGGGAAAGGAGAACTGCTGAGGTGACCCTGAATACCTTGGAGGGATAGCCTTCTGCCTGCCCTTCAGGGACTGGGGCTCTTCCCCAGGGCAACTGCACAACGGATAAGAACATAAGAGAACATAAGAGATGCCAATGTTGGATGAGGCCAAAGGCCCATCCAGTCCAATACCAGGTGCCATCAGGAGGGCCAGCAGTGGGGCCAGGACACTAGGACCCCTCCCACTGTTGCCCCCCCCCCAAGCACTAAGAATACAGAGCATCTCTTCCCTCAGACCGAGAGATCCTGTCTATACCTTGTGGCCAATGTTCCCTCTAAACTGTGGAGTCTTGTGAGCAAAAATTCTACTTTATGAGCTACTGGCATTAAAGTTGTGAGCGAGCAATTCAGCTATTGCATAAATTAGTTTGCTCTGGAGCCGTCCTTCCTGAGCTAAGACAAAAATGTGTGAGCCGGAGGCTCAAAAACTGTGAGCTAGAGGCTCAAAAACTGTGAGCTAGCTCACGCTAACTCAGCTTAGAGGGAACACTGCTTGTGGCTAAGAGCCACTGATGGACCTCTGCTCCATATGTTTATCCATATGTAGCCGCCGCCACCTCCTGTGGCAGTGAATTCCATGTGTTCATCACTCTTTGGGTGAAGAAGTGCTTCCTTTTATCCGTTCTAATCCGACTGCTCAGCAATTTCATGGAGTGCCCAGGAGTTCTTGTATTTGTGAGAAAGGGAAGAAAAGGACTTCTTTCTCTACCTGCTCTATCCCATGCATAATCCTATAAACCTCAGCTGGGTGCAGAGCCAGAGTTCACCAGGCTGGGAGGAGGGGAGGTAGTCCTTGAGATAAAGTGGACAGTGGTGCTTTGAGTGGTTGATGGGCAGGAGAGAGTCACATCTGCGTTAGAGAGGCACTGGTCTACAGCAGCGGCTCCCCAAACCTTTCACTGTAGTGAACCAACCAGTCCAAATTCTCTTGCTCCGGTGATGCACCCACGACTGGCCCAAGGTGTTTTGTTGCCCTCCTCCAGCATTCCATTTCCCACAGGGGCTAACCAGACGTTTCCGAGAAACCAACAAACATTGCAGAAGGAAGGGCGCAGCTGCCCCCTCCGTGAACCCAAAAGTGAGTGGCATTCCAGCCTTT